TATATAGTTTTGAAAACCGATCGGGGAATGAGGTGTTCTTCTCCACTTGTGCCCACTTATCCACAATAATCTTTGATTTCCTAAAAAAAAAAAAAATTGGTTACCTTCATTTTCATATGTTTAAAAACAAATTTTTCTTTCTTTGAGGCTCCTCTTCAGCATCTTCCCATAGCAGAGCTTATATTACAGAATTTACAAAAGGCTGGACAAGTGCGAAGTCAAACCCCCCGGTATACTCTTTTTCTGATGATAGATCTGTTGGTGGAATTAGACTGCCTGAGAATCATGAACAAGATTGAGGGGCAATTGCGGAGTGACTTGGAGGTAATCTAGTCTTAGAAGCAAACTCTTTTAATCACTTGTAAATGATCTGCTTCCTTGTCTCTCGGTGCCTCTAAGAAGCAACTCTTACATGTTGTTTTTTCAGGGAGGGCTAAGTTCAGACATGCACAGTAAACTTCTGTATTTGGACGAGAGTAGTGGTGACTCATATAAGATCTCAAAATTTGTGTAGATTCTGTAGGTGACCTGGATGGTCTTTCCCAGTCATCATGGTGAGACTATTGTCTGTCCTTGGCTAAAGTTCTGCGTCTAGATGTTGAATCTTCCAGTCTGCTCCTATTGTGTGGTAATCTCTGATCTGATCTGGATGGACTAAACAAAAGACAGGAACACTGTGCTGAATCTTAAATCTAGCAGGGCCAGAATGAAGAAGACAGGCCACCTGCCTTCTTTCAGAGGGCTGTTTTTTTGGGAGGGGTGGGCTTTGTTGGATGCATGCTTAAAGAATAGAGCAACATGGGTCACCACCCATATATACAAGAAAAACAACGCGCGCATCCACCATACATGTATTTGCAGAGCAACATAGCTGATACAGGAGGAGGAAAAGGTAACTTGGGACAGAGAGGTGGCTAGGTGTAGGGCATATTGGTAACTGGTCTGCCATAGCTCGCCTCCTGAACATTTAAATAGGTCACACTGGCCAACTCTACCTCTCTGACTGGCCTCAATAGGTGGTAGTTCGCACATGCGCAGTAGCACACTGCTCCCCCCCACCGTGAAGAGGGTCCCTCCAAAATCTGTACCAGACCCTTATCCCAGATAGGTGTCTGGTAGGGATTTTATCGGGGGACCCATGAGCAAACCCCCCAAAAAACCATGAGGCTCCCCCCCTTCAAATCATGCCTCCCATTCACACACCCTCCCACATCAGTGCCTCCCTTTTACATCAGAGTCCCCCTTTACATCATGAGCCCACCTTTACATTTGGGGACACTTCCTTTTACATTAGCGTCCCTCACTCTCACACTAGGAGCTTTTACAGTTTCCACTTCACATTGGAAATCACATCAGGGGCAGCAAGCATGGCAGAGGGTGGGAGGCAGAGCAGGCCTAGACGGAGGTGAACATCTGATCTTTTCTGAATGGACCCCACCCTCCCTGAATTAGAGTAATTTGTTTTGCATGATGCTGTACAAAAATTCTAAGCCACCCCTAAGGAGCCAGAAGGTTGGGTTAGAGGAATTTATTGCTATCTTTGCCTTTATTGGGGACATCTTTACTCCTTGTCAGGACAAAGAGTTATAGGAAATCTCTCCAAGAGGAACAAAGACAAAACATATTTTTAGTAGAGTAAGGAAGGGTTAGAACTGCTAACAATGCTATTGCTGTCCAGAACATTTAATCCCATTGACAACCATTCCTCCCATTTCTTGTATGTGTATCAGAGGGACAGTAAATGAATTGGGGGAATTTAAAACTGTCATGCGAGCTACCACAACAATGGTAGCTTTTATGACAACATATTTTTTATACATTTGTTGCTGTCAAACAAATGTAAAGTGACTACAAACTTTGTTATATTATTTATCTCTCCTTTAGGCTTAAGTCTGTCCTATAGTTATGTATGTCAGAAGAGACGTATGCTATGTAATGTCAAAGAAAAGCTTGCTTTACTTTATATGGAGCTAGGAAATACTTCCTCTGAGATTTCCAAATGTTATTTTCCAGCTGTCCCTGTTTAAGCACCACAGTTATTTAGCTGCTGGAATTTTCCATTCTGTCCTGTGACATGCAAAAACAAAATATGGCCTCCAGGTTGTAAAACCAAATTATCTTAATTTCATGTAAATAAAAGCTGCATTATTTAGAATGCGTGTTATCAGTGGATCTTTTGAAACTGTTGAATACTCTGGAATTAGCCTGCTCAATATCTTGCTAGATGTAAATTGGATTCAAGTGAGATCGTTCTATACTTTATATGCACTTTCATATATAGTACTTTTTTGTATTTACTGCAAGTATTATATATACTATAGAAAAGTTTAATTACAATATGCATCTCTTTGTTACAGTATTACTCCGCACCACTTGTGGGTTCCTCAGGTTCTTAATGGGGATTTTAGGTGTTTTTAGCATGCGATTTGTTTGTGGGTTGCAGAGTGTTTTGGAATTGTATACAGGTTTTATATGTGAGAATTTCAATAAAAATAGATACCTTTTATGTAGCCTTATGCTAATAGACCTCTTTATTCAACTAATCCACAGCCAACTATAACACCATCCAGGGGGATGTTTGTAATTTTGTTTTTTAGTTTTACCTTTTTGGTGCAGTTTGCCTCTCCACTCCTTGAAACCATATTGATACACAAGAAGGGTCAAACAATCATTGGATACAAATAGAATCTATGGTGGAGATTGAAATCCCCCAAAGCACGATAGTGCATTTTTTGTAAATTGTTACAAAGAAGTGCTTAAATATACATTGGATCGGGGTGGGACACTCAGAATTCCTGGCAGGGATTCTGTGATCACGAGTAGAGGTCCTGGCAGAAATTCTGCAAGTGCCATTAGATGTTCTGGCAGGGATTCTGGAAAACCTGGCAGGGACTCTGTGAACATCATTAGCAGAACAGGCAGACCTGGAGGTATTACAACATTCTATCATAAGCAGGCGCATTCTTAAACAGATTAGAAGAGCTGTTTTTCAGTGTGCCTTTCACATAACTTTGTTTAGATAAGGGGTGTTATATTGGTGATGCATTTGCTCTATGGTAGGCCAACATTGGATTCCCATTCGCCTTTGAATATATCAATAGCATACATTCAGAGGTTAACTTTAAAATTGTGTCTCACAAGGAACAAATTCCATTCTTTGATACTATAGTGATGTGTGTAGGTTCCATATTGATGTCAGATTTGTATACCAAACCATTGTATTGGAATTAACTTCTAGCATTTGTTAACTTTCACGCACCATCAGTCTTCATATACACTGATAAGGGTCAGTTTCTCTAATTGAATATCACATTGAATTTAATAGCAAAGAAATAGGTAATTAATTTGAAGACAGGGACTATCCTCGCACAATAATAAAAGCCTGTGTAATGCATGACTGGGATCGTGAAACCTCTCTGCTGTCTCTGTGAGCCCTAAAAGGGGACAAGGGGCAGAGTCTAAGGAGCTGCCTGATATTTACCAGCATACCCAGCAAAGGTTGATAATCTTTGCTGCAGGATGATTTCCAGGGTGTGGTCCTCAAACACACCCGTGCAGACCATAGTTCACCTAGAAAAAAACCAGGGCATGGTACAAAAATGACAATCTTAAAAATAGGGCCAGGCCAAAGGTGGACAGCTAATGAGCGTGGCCGATGTAAATTAATGGTGAGAAAGGGAAACTGGTGCTTGGGGATATGAACAAAGATGAACACTGAATTCTGAGAACACTGGAACACAGGAACAGAGAATTTACGGATTTGGGGGCATGGGTCTCAGGAATACTGTAATGTGTGATCACAATAGTACAGGAATACAGATGCTATAAATATTACCATAGCAGTGCATGCAGCTGCTATGTGGCTCAGGGCAAAAAGGGTACAGAGGGGGAAGCTGTTTGTCCTGTCCCAGAAGCCCATATGTAATAGTCCTGCAGCAACCAGGGCCTCTCTGGCGCATTCACTTGAAACTCACTGTGGCCACTAGCGACCAAGGGAAGTGGTCACTGGCTAAACAGCAATCTACCACGATGTACAATGGCACATCTTACAAGTGGTGTAGGGACCAGACACATCTTCCTACCAGGCAGTAGCACAGACATAGGGTTTAGTACAGACGGTAACAGAAGCAGCTTCTGTAGGTGGAAGCTTCTAAAGAGGACCTGTGAAAGAAGGATAGAAGCTGGCCATACCTGGATCGAATTTTAGAGTTTTCTTGCTGAATCAGCCAAATTCAATCCATGGCTGGTCCTGCCAGCACCACCAGGTTTGACAAAAGTTGTTTTTTAAATCAACTTTTGTCAAATGAGCTGGGTAGAACATTGTCTGAGGAAAAGTGACTGCAGCCAATATGCTCAGGCATACTCCACTGTTATCACCATTTAAACAAAGACCTGCAAGAAAATTACAGCCAGCAACAAATAAAAAATATGCCCTGTGAAAATACACATGCAGCCTGTTATTACTGTAGTGCATGTGGACAGGGATAGGCTGAAAATAGGCTGCAAGACATCAGCATCATTGAAATCTGACAAAGGAACAAAAAAGAATGCCCCTATCTTCCACCACTCTAAGATGCACAGCATTTTGCTACATACACAACATTCAGCGAGGGTGTACATCTAGTTTAACAGACCTGTCAGTGCTGACAAGCCCTACACAATCTCTCCCAATGTAGTTTGTCAGCAGCACCCCCTATGCTTTCCCTATCACAAATAAAGCACACAGTGAGGTGACTGACTATTCCAAAAACCCACTTATTGGGCATTCTGAGCCCGCTGCCCTAAGGTCAAAGGCCAGGTTGGGCATTATGGTTACAAATGAAAGCGGCAAACCCGAACCTCAACCCTACTTTTGGGCAGCCATGTTATTGATAACAGGTCTTGATAATCCTTTTCTTCATTTCTCTGTATCCAACCCTTATGGTGATTTGTCATAGTATTGCTACCTCTGACAATATTTGTATTCATTACTGAAAATCTTTTTTGTGTGTTTATTACAGCTGAAAGGGTATCTTCTCTTAATAAGGACTGGCATAGGCCATGCCTAAAATGTGAGAAATGCAACAAGACTCTGACTCCGGGTAGTCATGCTGAGGTATAGTATACTACATTGATCTCTATCTTTTTACAGTTTTTAAAACACTTTGAATAATATTTATGTTTAAGGTTTTAAAGTTGAACTCCAGGCAAACAGCCAAATACATATTGAAATAATTTTATGCAAACAAACTGTATAGTTTTGGTTGCATTGATTGTGCCTGCAGTTGGACTGCTTGCCCTGTGGAACAATATAGTCAATAGAGGACCAAAACCTAAACCTTGCATATAAGTATTCAGGTCAGTGTACTGTACGTCGCAAAGATAACTCACATGTATACTGAGCCATTTGACTTAGAACAATATGTCAGAACTGTCATATACAGCATCTTTGGCAAGGGACAGGTCCCCTTTCCAAGTGTCCCATTTTACTGCACCGGTAAAAGGGCCCATACGGAAACATAACAAATTTGGCAAACGATACTCAGATAATGCTTATGAGAAATATATTAACAAGTGAGATTATAGTTAATACATCTCCCCCCATTACCCCCAGCATTACAGTGTAGTTTGTGGTGGCTGATGCCTAATTCTTCTTGAGAATCAGTACACAAACCCAACTTCAGAACATCAGCCTGGCACACCAGTTTGTGGTTGCAATTGCAGGATCATGGGTGCTGAGTTTTGAAGTTGCAGCCCTAGTTTTCTATTTGTGTACCAAAGCTGGGTGCCTAAGAGATGCATGCATAGGTCCAACAAAACACCAGAAGTGATTCATGTGGGCCACTAGCAGCACCAGACATTAGTAGGCTCTTGAAATGTCTGGAGAGACAATACCTTCAACTGTATACCTATGAGAGCCTGTTCACATATAGCGGTGACTTGCGTTGTACTGCACCGGATCGCAGGACACTGCAAGAACACATAGAAAACAATTGTTTTCTTGTGTGTGAGGACCTGAGTGGAGTGTACACATTGTACACGCCACATAAAAAAAAATAGAAAAAATGTAACCAGTGACAGCTCTATCGGAGCTGTCACAACACACTAGCCCGTAGATAGCCGACAGATAGTGTGAACAGGCCCTAAATGTCTGCCAACAGATTGGAACTACTGAGCACTGACTTTAATACTACAGCTGTGTGAATTTGCCTAACTGAAAAAGACAATATTGAAATTTCTGCAAATGGATTGTACCTGAGAAGTGTTTTGCTAACTTTTATTTTACTGCTCTCTTCAGCATGATGGCAAGCCCTACTGCAATCAACCGTGCTATGCAGCATTGTTTGGACCAAAAGGTGGGGCACAATAGCTAAATGTGTATCTGTCCTAAAGTTCTAGACATTTGTTGATTGTACTGTAGATGACTTATGACTTTTTTGTTTTCAATTGCGTTTGTCTAAAAGCATATAGTAAAAAAGCTTTTCTTTTGCTATTTAGGTTTTGGGCGTGGTGGAACAGAAAGTCACACTTTCAAATAAGTAAGACCTATACTCTGTAAAGTTTATATCAAATCATATTTTTTGTGCTTGATAGTTTTCATTTAGGTTTCCATGGTCTTTAGCTACCAAAATTACCAACCCATTGATTTAAAGTGACAGTAAACTGAGGAGTTATTACTGAGAACTATTAACAATACTGGACCTTATTTGTGTATCACTGGGCAGTAGATCCTCAAATCATCTGTGAATTGGTGCTGTCCCTCCTTCTGGAGGGTGGCTACTTTTGTTCCACATGGTCCCTGTGTGTGTTGTAAAGTAGTCACCGCTCCAAGCTCACTCCTGTGATGGACTACAATCTCCACGTTTAGTTTACTAATTTGTATTGAGATTTGTATTGAGATTGCAGTCCATCATAGGAGCGAGCTTGTAGCAGTGGCTAGTTTACAATACACACAGGGACCATGGGGGAAAAAAGTAGCCACCCTCCAGAAGGAAGGACAGTGTCAGTTCACACAATGTCTGGACCAAATCTGGAGCAGATCTGCAAGCGCAGTGCATCGTGTTTTACTGTGATTTTGCTGCATTTTTTTGGGGGGGGGGGGAGTTTAGCTTTAAATGGGCTTACAGGTGCAGTTTCCATGCATTACAATGCATTCCGGACCAGAGAAAATGAGACAAGCAGTATTTTTTTTTGTCTGGACCGGAACGGACTGCACTGGTGTTAACAAAGCCCAGAAATACCATAGAGATACCTTGGGATGCTTTTTGGTCTGGGAACAAACTCTTCTGGTCTGGACATGATCCGGACATGGTGTGAACAAGCCCACAAGGTACAGTTTTGTTAATGGTTAAGATACTTGAATGCACTTTTAAGATTTAACTCCTGAGTTTAGTGTCACTTTAGGTTAAATAAGAGATCAGATACATGGTCAGAACTCTATTATTAAAGAAAAGTTTGGACTCACAAAAATGAACAATTTTCCTTGTTGTAATAGTATGCCTGGGAATCTGTCATGGTATACTCCACTTCACTTGCTAACATGAACCTTTGGCTCAGTGTTCACAGAATAGGCACTGAGGGTACAGCTCATCTAACCCTTCTCCATCTCACAGCAGTGATTTGGCAGGCCTCTAGACTTTTAATGTAGACATAGAGAAGGTGCTAAGCTGTTGAAAAATCGACTACAACCTAACTTTTGTGTTTCTGCTTTGTACTTTGAGGATAAATTGCTTTCCAGTGCCTGCTGCTATAGAGGTCAGTGAGGGCGAATTTAAAGTAAAAAAGAAAAAGAGGGGTCCAAGAAACTCTGGCAACAATGGCAAGGGAGATTCTTTTCTCACTTACTGTTTAGTCTGCAGGACATAAAGTAATGGAAAAACTCTACAATAGGACACAAAAAGAAAACATTTTTTTTAATTTATTTTTTAATGCGCCATTCTGCTACAAGTTTGGGCTTCAGATGTACTTAAATAATAAATATAGTAAGATTCCAGTCCAACTTTCCGACAAATATGTTGCTGTAAGGCTGGCAATGAAATGCTAATATGTGTAAATTATGCTATTAAAGGAAATGAAATAATCTGTGCACAAAAAAAATGATATAGTTAACAGCTGGTCCTTAGCAGCAACAAAATAAAGAAATCTTAAATAAAACTAATTATATTTAGAAACAACACAGTCAAATAAGTATAAAAAAGTACAACTAAACAGATAATACGCTTTTAAAAGTGTGTGATCAGCAGCTAACTTATATATAATAGCTTAGGTAGTGGTATTTTAATAAGCATAGTGATACTTTGCAGCCAGGGCGGGGTCAAGGTAGAGGAAGGAGAGATCTCAGCAGGCATTGTGGTGGTGTGTGTTTGTGTGGTGGTGGGGGGCGCAACTGGGCCAGGATCCTCTCTGGGCTTTGCATCATAACAGCTGGCTCTTGCACTGTGCAGGACTGGGCTGTCAAAATACCATCCAGCCCTACAGATTATTTTGGAAGTGTGTCTCTCCCAGTTTAATTAGCGAGGCTCCACTGTCAGTATGACAACTGATCCTGATACACAGGGCTGAACTAACCAGCTGTTAAAGTGACATTGGATCCCTGCTGATTACACTGGGAGAACTGAACTGTGCTGTGAGTGTGATAGTCCCCCTTTTAATTAATGAATGGAGGTTTAGCCTTCATTCATAATTTATTCTGATAAAAGCTTGTTTTACTTTAGTACCTTTTTCTTTCTTAGTTACTACTAATTAATCTCTATTAAATCTTAATTCCTTTTCTTTCCAAAGCTATTTTGTTTTTTTACAACCTAGGGGACAAATATTAGTAATATCTAGCTCAAGGTAACATCTAGCTCAAGGTAACACATTCTAGGTGTATTATGCAATAGCGTGTGGTAATCGCACAGTATTAACACTACACTTAGGTGTGAAAGGGCCCTAAATCTCAAACAGATATAAAATGCCTGTGTACACTGACGCTTGTTCTTATAGTCAGGAGCACTGTGAAAAGAAAGAGATAGCTGGGGGATTTTATAGTGACAGATCTTCAAAGCACAGCTCGCCACAAAGAAACATTACAGCAATAAATATATTTCTCTATATCACACTAATATATTATTACCTCTTTTGTAGGTCTGCTGGATTAAAACCTGGAGGAAAATAGAATCTACCAGAAATGACTTTGTCACCTGCTGTATCATTATGAAAATGCTTACATGCTAATTACATTCAAATACGAAACAGTGACCATCTTCTTTACCATCTACTTGACTCTACTATATGTCATAATATAGTAAAAGCAATATGCACTGTTTCTCTAACACCACTGAGGAAATTACTATTGCATTTATAAAGATGTCTATTTTTCATATAGTAAACATTATGCAGGTGTACATGATTGTTATAAAATAAATGGATTTTAAAAACTGTCAGATTTATTTGTTGTATAAATTGATTTTAAAGATACAAATATGACTCGGTAGCTGATGGTTTCTGTTAATGCAGTGCATTGCTTGATGTAAGAGTACATGCTTCAATTCATGCGATTTGGAAGCATTCTTTTTAGTCTGTTGATATTGATATCTCCCTCATCTCAGACTTCCTTAGAGATAATGTTTGTTCCCCTCCAAAAGATGTAAACAGCTTTTGTTTGTATTGTACCTGGGGGACTGGATTATTACCCTGTCCCACCTAGTTTGAACAGCACTACGGCACGGGAACAGCCAACATACCACATTGGACTGGATTCCATTCACGCTGATGGATCAGTAGTCCTGTAGCTACCTGCTTTAAACCTAAAATAAGGACACCCTCTCTTCCTCCAACAACATTGTGATCCAACATCTGATTCCTGAGCACAACCGCTATTTTCATTTGAATTCAACCTGGGTGATATTATCTGAATATACCCTTATCAGGGCTCAAAATTTCAAGTCCTGAGCTACTAGCCAGACCTTAAAGTTACTCGCCACCAGTTGCTCCCCCTAATCCCTACCCTGCCCCGGCCTTAACTCCGCCAGGTCAGCGGTGTGACGCAGAATACAGAGATCAGTAACAATGCACAGTGGTGTAATGCCAAATACAGAGGCCAGCAGTGTGACGCACAGTACAGAGGCCAGCTAAATACTCTTGCAAATACAGAGGCCAGCGGTGTGACGCACAGTACAGAGATCAGTAACAACGCACAGCAGTATAGAGGCCAGCGGTGTGATGCACAGTACAGATGTCAGCAGTATGACGCACAGTACAGAGGTCAGTAATGTAACGCACAGTACAGAGGTCAGCGGTATGACGCACAGTACACAGGTAATTAATGTAACGTTCAGTACAGAGGTCAGTAATGTAACGCTCAGTACAGAGGTCAGAGGTACAGCGGTCAGTAATGTAATGCACAGTACAGAGGCCAGCGGTACAGAGGTCAGTAATGTGACACACAGTACAGAAGTCAGCAGTATGACGCACAGTACAGAAGTCAGCAGTATGATGCACAGTACAGAGGTCAGTAATGTAATGCACAGTGCAGAGTTCAGTAATGTAGCGCACAGTGCAGAAGTCAGCAGTACATGGGTTAGTAATGTAATGTACAGTGCAGAGGTCAGCGGTGTAAGGCAGAAATAACAGGGACTTACAGTGCACATGGCTGATGTGATTCAGGTGCCCTCTTCTTCTCCTAGTGGTGGTGGGGGGGAGGGGCACAGCGATGCATCCCCCATGTCCGAGGTAAAGCCTCCCTTCAGGTCCCACGCTGTCCTGCCAGCCGGCCAATTGTACCTCTGCAGTCTTCCTCCCAGCCTATGGCAGCTAATGTGGGTGGAGGAAGCTGCAGGTGGCCAGAGTAGGCGCGTGATGGGCAGACAGCTGAACTGATTCTCCCTCTCTACTCCTCCTTGGCCGCTGCAGGTACAGTGCAGCCAAGGAGGAGAAGAGAAGGAGGGGAGAACTGAACGAGGGATCACCGCTGCTGAAGCGGCAACACTCTCCCCCCTGATCCTGGCGGCGGCACCTCCCCGATGAATTTACACTCACCCCCACGCAATTTTCACTCGCCAATGGTGAAGGGGCGAGTGGAAATTTTGGGTCATGCCCTTATCATTGTCACCTTGCTTTTCCCTCTGAATTGAGACTACAGTTTGAGATGGCCGATTCTGGACAAGTAGTGGAGACTATACATACCCTACTTGGGCTGTGGTTTGATAAACGCATTTCTTTCCAAATAGACAGCCTATGTGCACTTCATGTATTCCCCAGACACGACCCCATGCAGCAAGACTTTGCAGTTGTCCATTTTCTTTCAAACAAGCTTATGTCCCTCTCTCCCACAGCCCCCAAGTGGTAGCCGGTGGTTAGTTGACTGACTGGACCTACTCCATTGTGACTTGGGGCTCTTGTATCCGGAATACTATAATTTTCCTGATTCCATGATTTATTTATTTTTTATTTTACCTGCATTGCTAGTACTTATGGGGACTTTGGCGGTATGTTTGGTGACTATTTACCCCCCTTGAGACACCAAACTGTGATAACCTTAAACAATGTCTCACATAGGTCCCTCTCTTACATGCATTCATGTATGCCTATTAGGACAGGAGCCAGTTAGCCTACCAGCATATCTTTGGAGTGTTGGAGAAAACTGGAGTATCCAAAGGAAACCCACGCAAGCACACTGTGGAATGGCTCATACATCTGAACAAATTGCAGCTGCATTTTATAGTAATTTCACTGAACTCTACAATCTCCCTAACCCTGCAAACACTTTCTCTTCACACACCTTGCGATCCAAATTGCTCTCTTACATTGGGGCCACTGGATTCCAACTCTGAATGAAACAAACAATGATTTGCTACAGTCCCCATTCCCCATTTACAGGACATAGAATCCTTACTACTATCACCTCCTTACAGTGTGGAAAAAATCCTGGACTTGATGGGTTTACCAACTCTTTTTACAAATTGCTCCTCCCTATCCTACATTCTACATGCTGTATCAGACACCTGCCACTTTTTCAAGCAATCTCAGGAGGCACATATCATCCTCATCCCTATAGCTCAAAAGGACCCCATGCAACGTTCCCACTATCGCTCCATTTCTCTCATCAATGTGGACTAGGCTCTACGCTACAGTCCTGTCAAATAGACTGATGACCGCTATCCCCTGTCTCATACATTTAGACCAAGTCGGTTCTGTCCCCTTCCTGAGAAGCTAGGGACAATATGATTAAAATTGTCATTCTAATGGACTTCGCCCATAAACATCACCTTCCCTCTGCCTATTTTCTTTAGACAGAGAAAAGGCATTTGAATAGGACTTTTTGTTTTTGCAATCCACATTACAGAAAATAGGAATACTCTCATCTTTTATAACCAAGATAATGGCCCTATACGTGACCCTTACTGCGTGTATCAGAGTTGACAGGATGCTATTGAAAGTGGATGTCCATAATGGTACTGGCCAGGGCTGCCTCCTTTCTCCCTATATCTACATCTTAGTGATGGAGCACCTTGCTCAGGTCCTTCAATGGAATTAGTCTATACGGGGCTTAACTATAGGCTCCTATAACCATAAGCACAGACTATACACTGAGTGGGCATATTATTATGATCACCCCATCAGTACTTCGCTGGTTTTTTTATTGTTTCTGTGGACTGTCAAAAGTCTGGAGGAAAAGAGGTTTAACCTTTGCATACGGAAAGGATTCTCCACAGCTAGAGTTGTAAAAAAGTGGAATAGACTCCCCCAGGAGCTAGTTTCCAGCTAGCTCAGTTAACAGTTTAAAAAAAATCTGGATGTATTCCTAAATGCACAGAATATTATTGGATATTGAGTTCTTATTGGTATATTAAGCACCAAAGATTGTTGATCCAGGGAATATGTGATTGCCTTATGGGATCAGGAAGGATTTTTTCCCCTGTTAGAGAAAATTGAACCATGCTTTATAGGGTTTTTTTTGTTGACTCTGGATCAATAGTGGGTAACTGTGGGCATAGCGTTCTGTTTTTAGGTTTTTCTTTTTTTTGTTCTCATCTCTACAGGTTGAACTCGATGGACTTGTGTTTTTTTTCAACCTGACTAACTATGTAACTATGTAATGTAAGAAGGATTTTATTTTATTTTTCCTCATTATGATCGGGTTTTTTTATGTTTCGCCTTCATGGGATAACAAGGAATGTATCTATACATAAATGTTACATGAAAATAAACAATAAAGGTGGAAAGGAAACTTTTGCAGAACTATATTAAATTTGATATAATATGGGATAAATGTTTAAAATGTTTTAAATTAATCAAATAACTGATAAACCAGCCAAATGAACACTAGAAGACTGACACACACTAGTCCTTCTTAACACATACAGCTATATTTCTGCATTATTACTTTTCTGATGAGATTATCAAAGTATGTATATATATTTATACGTATAAACTCTTATGTAAGTCAATAATATAAAAACCAGTGAAACTCTTTCTTAGGAAGTTTACAAGTTAGCCAGAGTGGACTTCCTATATCACAGCGATGCCTAGTGACCAGGTGTGCTATTACATAGACACACCCAGAACAAATATAACAAATCAATTTAGGTACCTAAGCCATGGGAAAAAGGTTTCCTGGCTTGGAGCAGCCAAATAAACAGGCTTCGCTGATGTCACTGACAAACATTGCAAGAGTATAAAGCAAGCAGAGTGATAAAGCTCACTTCCTGGATGACCTCAATGTCTTCAGGGGAGCTCGCTTCCTGGATGAACTCACTGCCTTAAATGATTTCCTGAAGGTTCCTAACTTCCTGAGGATTCATTTCCTAACGCACTTCTTGAGGAGATTGACCTGACAAATACTCTTTGTGGAGACGCATCCCTGACATAATCCTGTGCTGGTTTTAATTTTAGATATTTTCATTTGGAATAGTTGAGTGACCTGTATTTTATACATATTTAAAATTGTAACTTAATAAAAGCTTAATTGCTAGTTTCTATCCTTAATTATTGTATATTTTGGTGCATCCATGATTAAATCATTGTAAGATAATCCCTTGTAGAAAGTAAATTTATCGTTATATTTTCTATATATCTGATTATTTTACAAAGTTATTTTGCGGTCTTTGATCATCCCAGACAAAAAAACGAGCTCACTGTTTCCTGACAATCGGGTATTGACATTATATTTTATCATTCATAAATATTTTCCTACTTTTGATAAAAGTAGGTGGAGGCACCAATTAAATTATAAATCATGATCTGATTCTAATACCCGACAACTTGTGACAACACTGACCCTAGACCAACAGTGGATGCATCATCTTGAACTACAAGTCCTTGGAATAACCTGGGGAGTACAGGATCTTCAGGACCTGGAAAGATTTTGCTGCTTTTGATGACCTTTTTACAATAATAGAGTTTTTTGTTTGGTAAGGTTAGTCATATGGGCTGCAAG